TGCCATTTCTTGGTAGAATGTGGACTATGTTGTACATTTCAAACATGCAAAAACAAGGGAGACAACCTCGAAGTTTGGCATAAAGATACACAAGTAAAAACCAAAACAAATTTTTTTTTTGTACGGGTGATCGTGTGTTCTACATTAAGAATACACGATAACTACCAGAATGTCTCACAAAAAAAGGAGACGAAAAAGAAGTAATCATTTTGTTGCGTCCAAATATGTTCCGACATGGAAGTGTTTCTACTGTTGCCACAGCCTGGTTCCCTGGGTGTGCTGCCATGGCAGGAAACCAGACCGCAGTTGTCATTCCTTCTATGATAGTCCAGTCATTCATAAACATAATATTCACAATATGACAACACTCTTTGACTAAGGAAAGTAAACATCACGCGGACGATAGTTGTATAAGTCATACAGAGCAGAAATATTAAACGAAACAGAAATGTCCGAATCTTCGAAGAAAGACTAACTTTCAAATCAGTATCCCTTTATATTGATTAATAAACATGGTTACTTTTCTCTTCAAGTCTCCTCTCAACGACACACGTTCTCATTACACTTGCAATCATTTGCTTAGAAGTTTCCAAGTCTGAACTTCTCACAGTCACAGAAACGAGCATCACAGCTAACAGCCAATTTCGGGTCTAGCAAGAATCATTCTCGTGGGGGAAGGGTGTCAAAACAATGTCAAACGTTGGAATAAGATTTGACAAATCTCGCTAACTCTCGAGGGAAGTCTTATGACCGTTATTCATGGCTAGTTGTGAGGTGGATCCCTCCGCCTGCCGTAGAGACCTGACTCCGTTCTTTGCTGTCAGCCGGTGGCACCAGGGGAGTATTACATGCTGACTCCCAATCATACTGTTGTTTAGACTTAAGGTCCTCAATGTATCATCTGAATTTAAGCAGTCATAAGGTGTTCATTTCGCAAGCTGATTTTGTAATAGGGTCTTCCTTGACTAAAAGATCGATGATGGATTGGGAAATAAAGAACTCTGAGCTTAGACAATGTTTGTTGGTTCTTTTCTTTTCAAAACTGCATCTAGTCATGTGTGTTTGTTATCGTCAATACTAGTATACTATTATTGACGAACGTACCAAAGCAATTCTAATGTGATCTGAAAACTGGTGTTAACATGCTAGGCATTTATAGCGTAATTACAATTTTGGAATTTCACATTTGCGGGTGTGAGATTTAGGTTTCGTACAACGTTTAACAGGGAAAGGGGGTATGCGACGATGAAGATGCAAAGGAATACACGAAGATGGAGAGGAAGAAAGGAAGGTCAACGAGGAAGAAGCGATGATCGATGATGATGATGTTGATGATGAAGGAATCGTCGACGATGGAAAGGGAAGATCGATGATGAAGATTATAAAGGAAGGTCGAAGATGAAGATCATGAAGGATGGTCGAAGATGAAGATTATGAAGGAAGGTCGAAGATGAAGATTATGAAGGAAGGTCGAAGATGAAGAATATATGAAGGAAGGTCGAAGATGAAGAAGGTAAGGGCGATGGTGAAGATCATGAAGGAAGGTCGAAGATGAAGAAGATATGAAGGAAGGTCGAAGATGAAGAAGATATGAAGGAAGGTCGAAGATGAAGAAGGTAAGAGTGATGGTGAAGATCACGAAGGAAGGTCGAAGATGGAGATTATGAAGGAAGGTCGAAGATGAAGAAGATATGAAGGAAGGTCGAAGATGGAGAAGGTAAGGGCGATGGTGAAAATCATGAAGGAAGGTCGAAGATGAAGATTATGAAGGAAGGTCGAAGATGAAGATTATGAAGGAAGGTCGAAGATGAAGATTATGAAGGAAGGTCGATGGTGAAGATTGTGAAGGAAGGTCGAAGCTGAAGAAGATAAGGGAGATTGTGAAGATTATGAAGGAAGGTCGAAGATGAAGAAGGTAATGATGAGGAATAGGAAAACAGGATCGTCTACTGAGGTTGATTTGGGACAGATGGAAGAATGGTGGAAAACAGATGTGAAGGTCGATGTAGGTTGACGTACAAAGCATTGGATCACTCTATCAGACTCCCTAACACTACAACCGGCCACTATAAACACATCAGCATAACACAGCGTGCACGTGCATGTTGTAACGTTAAGATCCATTATGGCCACGACAATGACAGATGTAGTTTAACTTCTCAAAGACATTTTACTCTTCATTAAACGTATTCGAAGTTGCACATCTTTTCAGAAGAAGTAGAATATCTAATCAGCTGATGATTGCCGGGATCATTGTTAAAAAATACCACGTTATTCAACGTTTTACGGAAAAAGGGTACGACATCATTTAACTGATTTGGAGTTGTTCCCCGCGGACAGATCAATTTCCGTGTTTGAGATACAATTTGAGTTTACCCGGGATTGCCACGCCTATAGTGAAACCGACAACGCAGCTGATGTAGAAATCATCGATCTTCCCCTGCCCCTAGAACCAACTGGGAAAACGGAACTCCTACAAACCTCACCAATTCAGTCCGAGAAATCGCGAGATCACAATAAACCTATACGAGACATAATTGCAATATTTGATGGAGAAAAAATCCCTGCAATAGCAATAAAGGTGTTCGATCGATGGTTTCAAGTAATTTCCCGGGCGCTAATTAACCTGTCCAAACCCCCTCTCCTCGACCTCCTCCCCCTCGTCTCGCTCCCTCTGGGGCCGGGTTATTCTCCCCAGACAAAGGGAATTATTAATAACTCTATACCAGGACGCACCGGTCCGGGGCTAATTCAGGTAAAAACAACACGTCGGCGCGATTACGGGTCTCCAATCTTTGATTAAATTCTAATTCACCTGTGCGTAGAACCCAGTTTAATCAAGGTAAAATTCACCGCACCTGTCCTAGACGTAGAGTTGTACTGCGGAGGTAGTTCAGTAATTTACACACTGTCGATCCGTCTTTCCGCCACGATGAATTATTCACAATATAAGAGGTTAGCTGAAATGACGATCATTATCATACATGTCTATCACATGAGCCCGGGGCATCCTCACCCCCAACCCTGCACCCTGAGTCAATGCCCCGGGGCTAGCACGCGCAGGGCACGTACCCTCACGGTCTAGTGATCACACACAGTTTAACCTGTCCTTTCCGTAAAACTCTCTTTAAAGGATTAATGAGGCTGCCCAAGTATTGTCAGGGCTGCCCCATGGATTATCGCCAAATGTATTTGGCTAATATCAGTCCTGATCATCGTGGTGTATTTACATCGAAGGCACGCTTCCTTCTTTGCATTGTAATTATGAAAGCGAAAAATGTTCTTTCAAAGAACGATGATTATGGGTGATTATACATATTTTCCCCATAGTACTGATATCATATTTTCCTTATTAAAGCGGGACTTTCAATCAGAGAAAGGCGATGACGCGTTTTCATAAATTACCTCGACTTTTATGCGGGCTGTCAGACCAGAGCACCTATTATTAACAGAACAAAAAGACAATTTGCTACCCCTATATTTAGCGTACTATGTAATTATCGAAATTCATCAAGTGGTAAAACGAAATGATTTTATTGATTAAATCGGCAAGATTAACCATTTAGTTTTAATTACTTTTAGTGACACCGAGTTCATCTGCTTAGGTTTTTCGGTTCTCTCTAAATAATGTTCATTATTTAAATCACTGCTGCTCAAATAATTTGGGCATACATTTTGTCAATTACACAGACGCCAGCAATTCAGTGTAAGGTTTAATCACTTTTTAGGTATCATTACTCAGAAATAATACTCAAAGATTGCAACCACAATAGGGAAAACGGTTCATTATAATGTGGTCACATATTTTGTAATGTATTGAATAATGCCTTGGTTAAATCAGTCACATATGTGTGATGTATGTACAGATGCCACTTTGCTTGGGACTATCATCGTACGGAATGGCACACTCCAGATACATGATTTTGTCATTGAGACAGGCTTTGGTGAGAAGAAAACTCTCTAAGTGGTAACAGCTTCTGCAGTTATAAAGATACACTGGTGTGAAATCTGTCGGATTAACAAATGTTCGGATTAATGAGTCACAGTTACTACTACTACTACTACTACTACTACTACTACTACTACTACTACTACTACTGCTGCTACTGCTGATGCTACTGCTGCTACTGCTACTACTACTATTACTACTACTACTACTACTACTACTACTTCTGCTGCTGCTGCTACTGCTGCTGCTACTACTACTACTACTACTGCTGCTGCTACTGCTGCTACTACTACTTCTACTGCTACTACTACTATTATTGCTGCTGCTACTACTACTCCTGCTGCTGTTACTGCTACTGCTACTACTACTCCTGCCACTGCTACTGCTTCTAGAACTACTACTACTCCTGCTGCTGTTACTGCTACTGCTTCTAGAACTACTACTACTACTGCTGCTGTTGTTACTGCTACTGCTGCCACTACTGCTACTGCTACTCCTACTGCTACTGCTGCTATTGCTACTACTACTGTTGCAACTGATACTGCTTCTGCTGGTGTTACTACTGCTGCTGCTGCTGCTACTACTACTATTACTACTACTACGACTACTGCTTCTGCTACCGCTACTGCTACTACTGCTATTGCTGCTGCTAATTACTACTACTACTAGTACTGCTGTTGCTACCGCTACTGCTGCTGCTACTACTACTACTGCTACCACTGCTGCTACTGCTACGGCTACTACTACTACTACCACTGCTGCTACTGCTACTGCTGCTACTGCTACTGCTTCTGCTGTTGTTACCACTGCTGTTGCTGCTGCTACTACTACTACTACTTCTGCTGCTACTACTGTTAATACTACTACTGCTTCTACTACTGCTGCTGCTACCGCTGCTACTACTACTTCTACTACTACTACTACTACTACTGCTACTACTGTTAATACTGCTAATGCTGCTAATGCTGCTACTGCTGCCGCAACTAGTACTACTACTGATGCTACTAGTACTACTACTGCTACTTCTACTACTGCTACTACTTCTACTGCTACTGCTACTGCTGCTGCTACTGCTACCGCTACTGCTGCTACTACTATTACTGCTACTGCTGCTGTTGCTACTACTGCTGCCGCTACTAGTACTACTACTGCTGCTACTAGTACTACTACTGCTACTACTACTGCTACTACTGCTACTACTAGTACTGTTGCTACCGTTACCGCTACTGCTGCTACCACTACTGCTGATGCTGCTACCGCTACTGCTGCTTTTGTTATTACTACTGCTGCTACCGCTTTTGCCACTACTACTACTACTACTACTACTACTACTTCTACTGCTGATGCTACTACTGCTGCTACCTCTACCGCTATTGCTACTACTACTACTACTCCTGCTGCTACTACTGCTGCTACTACTACTACTGCTACTGCTGCTACTACTAATACTACTACTACTGCTGCTGCTACTGCTGCTGCCACTACTACTACTACTACTACTATTACTGCTACTGCTACTGCTGCTGTTGTTACTACTGCTGATACTACTGCTACTACTACTTCTACTACTGCTGCTGCTACTACTAATGCTACTGATATTATTACTACTGCTGCTACCGCTACCGCTATTGCTACTACTACTACTACTACTACTCCTGCTGCTACTACTGCTGCTACTACGACTACTACTACTACTACTGCTGCTACTGCTGCTATTACTGCTGCTACTGCTGATGCTAATGCTTTTTTCTGCTGCTACTACTGCTACTACTACTGCTACTGCTGCTGCTGCTGCTACTGCTCCTGCTACTACTGCTACTACTACTGCTACTGCTGCTGCTACTGCTACTACTACTGCTTCTGCTACTACTACTGCTGCTACTGCTTCTTTTCTGCTGCTACTACTACTACTACTGCAGCTGCTCCTGTTATCACAACTGCATCTTTTTCTACAACTACTGCTGCTTTAAACTACTACTACTACTGCTACTCATTAGTACTGATGATGTTGGCGTTGCTACTACTACTGTTGCTACTGCTTCTGCTACGACTACAAATACTACTTCTGCTGCCACTACTGATACTACTACTGTTGCCACTTCCTCCTCCTCCTCCTCCCCCTCCTCCTCCTCCTCCTCCCCCTCCTCCTCCTTCTGCTCCCCCTCCTCCTCCTCCTCCTACTACTACTAATACTACTACTACTACTACTACTGCTAGTGCTTCTGCTACTGCTACTACTGCTACTACTGCTACTACTACTACTACTACTACTACTACTATTACTGCTGCTGCTACTACTACTACTACTTATGCTGCTTCTACTACTACTGCTTCTGCTGCTACTGCTACTACTACTACTACTACTACTGCTGCTGCTGCTACTGCTACTGCTACTCCTGCTGTTGCTACTGCTACTGCTTCTGCTGCTACTGCTTCTTTTCTGCTTCTGCTGCTACTACTACTACTGTTGTAACTACGGTAATGCTGACTCCTGTGCGTGTGTATCGCCGGGACGCCTCTGCCACACAGTCACCACGTGTATCACATCCTACCAAGAAACTCCACAGCCACTATGACTGCCGTAATCCCTGATTTGCCCTGTAACTTGTAGCAAACATCAGACATACTTAAAGTTTAATGCTCGGCCGTCTGGGTCGGTGCGACCTTCATAGATGTACCGGATACATTATACTCGTATCTTTCGTCATTTGTATAAAAAGTCCCCTCCGAAGATCAAACGATCGCTGATAGAAGAAACTGGAGTAATAGTGAGTGTAGTAAGTTGTTGAGGCACCAGTAACTATAGTATGCGGGATTTAGTGGTAATTTTCATAGTATAGAACCATTAACAGCAGAGTTGGTGAGCGAGTGTATTTTACGCCGCTTTTAGCAATGTTCCCGCTATTACCATGTTGGAAATCGAACCCTGGCCTTTAGAGTGACGAGCGAACATGTTAACCATACGGCTGCACCACGGCCCCATTAGCTGCAGAAGCAGGTGCTTTTCTAGTAATATTATAGTGGCAGCAGCAGCGGCAGTAGTAGTAGTAGTAGTATTAGTATTAGTATTAGTATTAGTATTAGTAGTAGTAGTAGTAGTAGTAACAGCCGCAGCACCTGCATAGTAGCATCTAGAGGATAAAAGCAGTCACTATGAAATCGTCAATAGAGAAATAATTCAAATAGATATTTTCATTTGTGTAATGTTATTTGTGAAACAGTAGTGGTTGCTGCTGCGATAGTTGTGGCGGTTCAGTAGTAGTGACAACAGTAGTTTTAGCAGCAACAACAATACTGGTAGTAGTAGAAGTAGTAGTAGAAGTAGTAGTGGTGGTGGTGGTAGTATGTGATGTAGAAATAAAAGTAAATAGTAACAGTCGTTGTTGTGGCAGAGGCAGCAGTTGTTGTTGTTGTTGTGGTTGAGGCAGTAGTTGTTGCGGTAGAGGCAGTAATTGTTATTGTTGTGGTAGAAGTAGCAGTTGTTGTTGTTGCAGAGGCAGTTTACGTTGTGGAAAAGAGGGTAGTTGTTGTTCTGGTAAAGACAGTAGTTGTTATTGTGGTAGATGCAGAAGTTTTTGTTGTGGAAGACGCAGCAGTTGTTGTTGTTGTGGTGGGGGCAGTAGTCGCTGTTGTGGTAGTGGCAGTAATTGTTATTGTTGTGGTAGTGGCAGTAATTGTTATTGTTGTGGTAGGTGTTGTTGTGGTAGTGGTGGAGGCAGTAGTTGTGGTAGAGGCAGTTGTTGTTATGGTAGAGGCAATAGTTGTTATTGTTGTGGTAGAGGCAGTAGTTGTTGTGGTGGTGGTGGAGGCAGTAGTTGTAGTTGTGGTAGAGGCAGTTGTTGCTGTTCTTATAGTGGCAGTGGTTGTTATTGTTGTGGTAGATACAGTAGTTGCGACAACAGTCGTTATTGTATTAAAGGCAGCAGTTGTTATTGACGTAATAGAGGCAGTTGATGTTATTGTATTAAAAGCAGCAGTTGTTACTGATGTGGTAGAGGCAGTTGTTGTTATTGTATTAAAGGCAGCAGTTGTTACTGATGTGGTAGAGGCAGTTGTTGTTATTGTATTAAAGACAGCAGTTGTTACTGATGTGGTAGAGGCAGTAGTTGTTATTGTATTAAAGACAGCAGTTGTTATTGATGTGGTAGAGGCAGTAGTTGTTATTGTATTAAAGACAGCAGTTGTTACTGATGTGGTAGAGGCAGTTGTTGTTATTGTATTAAAGGCAGCAGTTGTTACTGATGTGGTAGAGGCAGTTGTTGTTATTGTATTAAAGACAGCAGTTGTTACTGATGTGGTAGAGGCAGTAGTTGTTATTGTATTAAAGACAGCAGTTGTTACTGATGTGGTAGAGGCAGTTGTTGTTATTGTATTAAAGGCAGCAGTTGTTACTGATGTGGTAGAGGCAGTAGTTGTTATTGTATTAAAGACAGCAGTTGTTACTGATGTGGTAGAGGCAGTAGTTGTTATTGTATTAAAGACAGCAGTTATTACTGATGTGGTAGAGGCAGTTGTTGTTATTGCTGTGGTAGAGGCAGAAGTTGTTATTGTATTAAAGACAGCAGTTGTTACTGATGTGGTAGAGGCAGTAGTTGTTATTGTATTAAAGACAGCAGTTATTACTGACGTGGTAGAGGCAGTAGTTGTTATTGTATTAAAGACAGCAGTTGTTACTGATGTGGTAGAGGCAGAAGTTGTTATTGTATTAAAGACAGCAGTTATTACTGATGTGGTAGAGGCAGTAGTTGTTATTGTATTAAAGACAGCAGTTATTACTGATGTGGTAGAGGCAGAAGTTGTTATTGTATTAAAGACAGCAGTTGTTACTGATGTGGTAGAGGCAGTAGTTGTTATTGTATTAAAGACAGCAGTTATTACTGATGTGGTAGAGGCAGTAGTTGTTATTGTATTAAAGACAGCAGTTATTACTGATGTGGTAGAGGCAGAAGTTGTTATTGTATTAAAGACAGCAGTTATTACTGATGTGGTAGAGGCAGTTGTTGTTATTGCTGTGGTAGAGGCAGAAGTTGTTATTGTATTAAAGACAGCAGTTGTTACTGATGTGGTAGAGGCAGTAGTTGTTATTGTATTAAAGACAGCAGTTATTACTGATGTGGTAGAGGCAGTAGTTGTTATTGTATTAAAGACAGCAGTTGTTACTGATGTGGTAGAGGCAGAAGTTGTTATTGTATTAAAGACAGCAGTTGTTACTGATGTGGTAGAGGCAGTAGTTGTTATTGTATTAAAGACAGCAGTTATTACTGATGTGGTAGAGGCAGTTGTTGTTATTGCTGTGGTGGGGGCAGTATTTGCTGTTGTTGTGATAGAGACAGTAGTTGTTATCATTGTAGTAGAGGCAGTAGTTTTTGTGGTGGATGCAGTAGTTGTGGTAGAGGCAGCAGTTATTATAGTTGTGGTGGAGGCAGTTTTTGTTATTGTTATGGTGGAGGCAGTATTTGCTGTTGTTGTGATAGAGACAGTAGTTGTTATTGTTGTGGTAGAGGCAGCAGATGCCATTGTTCCGGTAGAGGCTGTAGTAGAAGCAGTAGTTTTTATGGTAGGGGCAGTAGTTGTTATAGTTGTGGTGGAGGCAGTAGTCGTTGTTGTGGTAGAAGCACTAGTGGTGGTATAGGCAGCAGTTGTTATAGTTGTGATAGAGACAGTAGTTGTTGTTGTTGTGGTAGAGGCAGTATATGCAATTGTTCCGGTAGAGACAGTAGTTGTTGTTGTGGTAGAGGCAGCATATGCAATTGTTCCGGTAGACTGTAGTAGAGGCAGTAGCTGTTGTGGTAGAGGCAGTAGTTGTGGTAGAGGCAGTAGTTTTGTTGAAGAGGCAGTAGTTGTGATAGTTGTGGTGGCGGCAGTAGTCGTTGTTGTGGTAGAAGCACTAGTGGTGGTAGAGGCAGCGGTTGTTATGGTTGTGATAGAGACAGTAGTTGTTGTTGTTGTGGTAGAGGCAGTAGATGCCATTGTTCCGGTAGAGGCTGTAGTAGAGGCAGTAGCTGTTGTGGTAGAGGCAGCAGTTGTTGTTGTGGTAGAGGCAGTAATTTTGTTGTAGAGGCAGTAGTTGTTATAGTTGTGGTGGAGGCAGTAGTCGTTGTTGTGGTAGAAGCAGTAATTGTAATTGTCGTGGTAGAAGTAGTAATTGTTATTGTTGTGATAGAGGTAGCATTTGTTGTTGTGGTAGAGGTAGCATTTGTTGTGGTAGAGACAGTAGTTTTTGTGGTAGAGGCAGTAGTTGTTGTGGTAGAGGTAGCACTTGTTGTTGTGGTAGAGGCATCAGTTGTTATAGTTGTGGTGGAGGCAGTAGTCGTTGTCGTGGAAGAGCCAGTAGTTGTTGTGGTAGAGGTAGCACTTGTTATAGCTGTGACAAAGGCAGTAGTTGATGTTGTGGTAGAGGTAGCAATCGTTATTGTTGTGGTAGAGGAAACAGTTGCTGTTGTGGTAGATGTAGCAGCTGTTGTTGTGGTAGATGTAGCAGTTGTTGTGTTAGAGGTAGCAGTTGTTGTTGTGGTAGAGGCAGTAGTTGTGGTAGGGGCATCAGTTGTAATAGTTGTGGTTGAGGCAGTAGTCGTTGTTGTGGTAGAGGCAGTAATTGTTATTGTTGTGGTAGATGTAGCAGTTGTTGTTGTGGTAGAGGCATTTTTTGTTGTTGTGGTAGAGGCAGAAATTGTACTTGCTGTGGTAGAGGTAGCAGTTGTTATCGTTGTGGTGCAGGCTGCAGTTGTTGTGGTAGAGGTAGCAGTTGATGTAGTTGTGGTGGAGGCAGTAGTAGTTGTTGTGGTAGAGGCAGTTGTTGTTGTGGTAGAGGCAGCAGTTGTTATAGTTGTGGTAGAGGTAGCAGTTGTTGTTGTGGTAGAGGTAGCAGTTGTTGTGGTAGAGGCAGTAATTGTTGTGGTGGCGGCAGTAGTTGTTGTAGGGGCAGTAATTGATATTGTTGTGGTAGAGGTAGCAGTTGTTGTGGTTGAGGCAGTAGTTGTTGTTGTGGAGGCAGTAATTGTTGTTGTGGTAGAGGCAGAAATTGTTATTGTTGTGATAGAGGCAGTAATTGTTATTGTTGTGGCAGAGGTATCAGTTGTTATCGTTGTGGTGGAGGCAGCAGATGTTGTTGTGGTAGAGGCAGTAGTTGTTGTGGTAGAGGTAGTAGTTGTTATTTCTATGGTAGAGTCAGTAGTCGTTGTTATTGCTGTGGTAGAGTCAGTAATGGCCGATGTTGCGGTGGAGGGAGTTGTTAATATTGATGTAGAAGTATAAGGTGTTGTTGGCGTAGTAGAGGTAGTAGTTTTTGTTGAGGTAGAAGCAGTAGTTGTTTTTGAGATGCTACTGTGGTTGGGGCAACTGTGGTGGAGACAGTCGAGTGACTGTGCACGTGACGGTAATTAATACAACCCTTACTTATAGGATTATGTCATACATGGGTTGTCTTCAGTGTTGTTTCACCAGCAATGGCGGCCTCTGTAGTCACGGTCGTCCTTCCACAAGTATCAACTCCATCACCCAGAGCACATGGGTGTCACCGTGACTGATAATGATTCATACTGCTTGTCACTTCCTTGATAAGGCGAACATGATACATAATGGATACGGCGTGCAAATAAATCTCCACCCCAGTCCCGTATTCATCATGCCTTCACGAAGTATTTCTACTTTAAGGAATGGCATTTTTCACATGTTTTCCAATAATCTGTTAAAGTTTACCCTAAACGTGTTGTTGACTTGGTGATCTAACATACACTGAATGTGCATCAGTTTATTTCTGATCGTTGTACAAACACATAGCTACATAGACACGGATTCGGGGAACTACACCAATCCATTAAATCTGTCTTTGGCCGTTTACATCCGTTTTCATAGAACCATCAGTGTACATAAGCAATCAGTCGTATAGCTCTTTACACTATAACCACACTTAAACGGCATATATACAGAGTTGGGGGCAAATCGATCACCCCATTCGCCCCACCTGAGCATAAACGTTGTCGAGTGTATGTGGAAGTGTACCTTACGGAATCGAGGTTGAATATTCCTGTTCTGCTGAGCGCTTATTTGACCCTTTCTTATGATATATTTGTCTGAATGAGCGATCATTTTTCTGTAAGTCATGAAGAATATTCAGACCTCCAGAAAATCTGCGGTCGTCTTGAAGTAATTGGTTCTCTCACGCACGCTGGACGGGATATTTTGGTCATAAGGGAGACTTGGGTCTAGTTTGCTTGAGAGCCATCCATTACCTAGAAAGGATTTCGTTAGTTTCTCTTGGCAAACGCCGGTCATGATCTCATAGCAAGGCTGGGCTAAGACACGATGTTACAACGTAAATCTTTCCTTTTTATGGCCATACGTCAGGGATGTGCTTAAAACAATACGACGGGTTTGGTAATCTTGACATGGAGGTTTGCTTAATTAAATACTGGCTGTGGCTAATGACTTCTGTGGGGACGATGGTTTAAGGTTGTTTTCTGCATTTTGTCGCATTCAAAGTAGGGTGTTTTTGACATCTTGAATGTTGTCTTCAGCCGTTCATGTTTTAGGAGACTTTGGTACATCATGAACCTCGCAATTCACATCACACCGCCGTGGCACGTCGTCATTTTCAGCTCTTGGACATGGTGGCCCAGTGGTTTTAAGCCTCGAACCACGTCATGACCCGCCGCTTATCGTGTGTTATCAGGTTTGAGCCGATATATGATTCTTGATTTGCACCATCCCCGTGGTAGTTGGATTCAACGCCTTCGGCCGCTTCGGGCTTTTCTTCGACATTAAGCTGACCTGCTCTTAGAGGCATCATCCCCAAATCACTCACTCAGCTTCCTCTGCAGTTGTTTCTGTTGACTACAAAAATTAAAGTTCTTGGAAAATAAATAGTGTAGTTGGAGATCGTACCGAATTTGGTTCATCCACCACTTCGTTATATCCATTCTGGTTGATGGATGTACATTAGATGAGTGTCTCAGATCAAGTAAAGCATTTTCAAAATAAAACTTTTGTTTTTCAACCCCAACATGCAAATAAAAGATGATATAGTTCAGTTGTTCATCTTCTTTATTCAAACAAAACAAAGATATATGTAAATAACTCCGTTTAGCGTTGGATTCGGTACTCATCTACATACCACATATTCAATCTATCTATTAACAGCAAAAGTTTCTTGGTGGTACCGCGTGGCTGTGTAACGTGTTTATCAGAATATCTCTAAGAAGTGTACGTGTGCAGGACGAACTGATTAGTCATCACTTCTAACTGAGATTCACCAGCTCCTTCAGTTGCAAATCGCTAAATATGTTGCGTTTTTATGCAATTCGCGTCTCAATTTCTGTGGACATAGGATAATTCTATTAAATTTGGGGTTGCTGTCTTTATTATTGATCAAACGCTGCTATTCTGATGAAAGAGCATAAGGCTGCATATTTGCCTTGTTGACTGATTCTAACAGGATATTCTCCGGTATTTGATCCGACCATACGATATGACATGTTTATTGAAACAGGAATTAACATTTTGGATGCCGGGAAGATGCATACCTTTTAAAGGCACGTGACGGAATTGGCTACTTTAAGTACCCTGGTATACGTATATGGTTTTAAAGATTGTGGTTGGAGGATCAGTACTCGTGTAGTCTGGTCTCATTTAACGCCGGTGACAGTTGATGTTATTAAATTTGTCATTTCAAGCCAGGCGAAGAAGTTCATCCGAAACTAACCTCGATCATTTTTTTTAAGGTAATAAATAAAAATAAAAATTGTGAGGTTGTAATTTTACTTCAAAACCAGATATAGGGACCGGATGTATACATTGTGCCCTGTCACAATGACCACATAAAACAGGGTTAATGCACACTAGGATAGGATCAATTATTATTTAATATCTATGTTAGAATTGAAAGAAAAGTCAGTATGCAACGTTTCATTATTTCCGATGTGAATAACTGCATTTTATCAATAACAAAGATGCAAACTTCAATTAAAATATGAAATAAGGAAGCAAACACTTTAACCAGAATATGCAACTGCTGTTCAATCTCTCAAATCGGAATAGAAATTAAAACGGAAGTGGTGGCTGATCTTCTCGTTCCGGCACGCGTGCAATTCATTGTTATCAAAGCTTTCAATAAAATCCCAAACAAAAATCTGTATAGGCATCTTGCTATATTCAAACGTTTAGGACAGTACCCGAAAATGGTAAAAGTTGTGACAGAAATGTTAACACCATTTCAAAAGTAGATCTTAAATAATTTGTTGAGTAGCATATCAACTTAAACAAATATCATTTTTATTTGACGAACCAAAATGCTAATATAAAGAATTATACAATGAATTTAGTTCGAAATCTCAATTATATTATATTTCAGTTATTTATTCTTTAACATTTATTAACGTACGTGTATCACATGTTATCAATTGCTACTTTGCCCCTGGTAAATGTAGATGTCGTGAGTGGGAGGATTTAACACAGTGGTTGTAGCATAGCCTTGAGGTAAACATTAATGGCAGATTAAACACTTTAACAGTGGTATGTCAACAACGACCCGTTGTCAGGCAATGTATTGTCACGTAATAACACTTTCATACCTCCTGTTTGAACAAAGTCTCAACAAGCAGACAAACTTCACATTTTTGTAATTCTAGTTGAGCGACATATATAGCTGTGAACATAGTTCAATACTGTGTATTAAAGTATTTGTTGTAAAAATATAAAATAAAAATCGACGGACATTAAAAAAACTGAGAAAAAGGAGCGATGCTTGCCACAAACATAATAGACATTGTTTCAAGGAACTCCATTTAAAGGGAAGACATGCCATGCAAACTCACAAAATTTGAATCTACTTTGGTGACATAAAAATATCCAAAACTAACAAATTAAATCAAATTAATCATCATTAGGTGTAGGGTATTAATAATTCTGTTCCGCAGTAGCCCTTGTTGGTATCAACTTCATTAGAATATTAAGTACAACATGAAATATCAATGACTTAAAGGGGGGCTAGGCTGGTCCCAATTAGCAGTCCTGGCAAATTTGATTCAAGTCATTCCACACCAACTTTCTTGTTCTGGACTCGAATTAGGCCTGGGACCAGGAGGCATAATCCCACTTTACCATAAACATGTTGTCTATAATACTCCATGTGTCTTTTGTCGGAAACAGGTTTGTGTCTGGATTAACAAGGTTCTGCTCTATCCACATAGCACGTGCACACGTTGGAGACCCCCGATTGGGAATGATGCTCACATACAACCTTTATCTCATCGCCTCTGACAGCATTCTTAAATTCAAACAGACAAATATCATTCACTTGTGAAAATAAATCTTAAAAAAGTACGTAAAACAACCAACATGAAGTATGGCTTAAAATACATCTTGAAATAGCCAAATATGTTCACACCTAGCAGTTTTGCTAAATAGACAACAGTTCAGAAACAACCCATTTCTCTTGCTTTCACGATTTCAACCAGCTTCTAACCTGTGTCCATGGCTACCAAGAAGGTGCAATCTACGTGACATCCAATTCATCAATACCCTCCAATCAAGGAGTTCTTAAGATAGATTATTTTTGGTGGTACGTTTCATTAACTAACAGCAGTGTCCATTACATTGTGAAGATGTGTCTTGGAAATGAACACAAAATGCTCGTGGTTGGTGCCAGTGTTTCTGCAGAGATAATGTGGTTAACAGGCTCTTATTTTTGCATCTTAAAAGAATATTTTAGGGCAATCTTCCTGCATCGTGTGATTATCTCTATCACTTCAATTCCAAACATAATATCAGAGTGTGTATCAGTTTCTCTAAAGTAATTTCAGAACACCCGATGTGATTTTGATGTCCTCGCATGGTAACTGTATATTTACAATGTCTACAAAGAATGGCGTCGATGAATGAAATAATGTACAAAGCCAACATATTGATTTGGAAATAGTGCTTGACATTATTTCTATTCTGTAGAATACCAGTAAATGTTCCGCTTGGAGCGAATATTTCTCAAGAAAGGACAATAAAATAACATCAAATCCTGCTACAATAGTCGAGCATCAACTGGGGAATTTCTGAAGGACGGATTGTAAATAATTACCAAAGTCTTGCAAGGACTATTCATGCAAAAAGTATATGAAGTAAACCTTTTCCAGGTTGATACAACACTTGAAGTAGCCATCGTACAATAACTAAAGAAGAATTAGGTACAATTATTGAAGCATTTCTTCAAGAACCTGTAAATACATGATAAATTTTAACAAGAATTCCTACAAAAACGAACAGAT